GACATCATCATCATCATCATCATCATCATCATCATCATCATCATCATCATCATCATCATCATCATCATCACTACTGTTTTTGTTGTGCCAGAAGTTTCATTCGTATACTATGAAACAGGAGAAAGGAAAGCACACACAAAGAAGAAATGGTTTGTTATATTCAGAATTATAACCATTATTAGAAGCGTATTTAAAGGCAGCTAATAATATAATTAATCTAATTCATGTGTTATTCTCACAATGATTTTGTTTTTTCCCTGTACAATGTTTATCTTTTGGTAAGAGCTGCCCTTTGCTGTTACGAGCTGGAAATCTTTTTCGAATCCCCGGGGATCAGAGTTAACTATAAACCAGCATTTTCCATAATTACATTCTCACTCAGTTCAGTGCTGACCCAGCCTGTGAATGAGACGAACTTTTATACATTAATTGTATAATGATTTTACCAGCAGCTGTGCACCATCAGTACTAACTGCTTGAATTATTTGAAACAAGCCGTCAGTACCTTCACTTTAAGGTCTCCTTGTTGTTTTGTTTGCCACATCTCTGTCTCAGCTGCCACAATTGACTAGTGTCCTTCAAGAGCGTAGCTGGTTGAAGGCTCCGCTGATAGGTCCAACTTCTTTTCTTTCTTCTGTTATCTCTGTCTGTCTCTTTCGCTCCTTCCCTGCACGATATGACCATTATTGCGTCGATGTGCTTTTGTTTACTCAAACGAACAAACTAACTACCACATTCTAAGAGTAGGTGATGCGTGATGAAAGACAGCACAGCACATCTTGAAAAGTGCTGATGAACTCTTCCCCCCTCCCAGTTTTCCAGTGTTGTGTTGCATACATTGAAGATTTTGTCCAAACGGAAATGGACCGCAGTTTTGGACTGGTGCCAGTGGTACATGTATAAGTGTTATGCCCTTCATCGTTCCGCACAGAAGACATGAGTTTGATGTGGGGATATTTTTAGTATATTGTATTCCGTCAAAATACACGGTCTTTGATTCCGTTCCACCCTGGTTGGTCTTGACAGTAGGGCTGTACCCTGGTAGCAAACCCGCCCGTGCTCGCAAGCCCCTAGTTCAAGTCACAAGCCTCAAATCACTAGGTCAAATCATCAAATCAAATCACCAGCATGATAAGTTGAGTCTAGCGCAAACTGTCACCTCCTTGGTCTAGTCTAAACTTCAAGTCCACAGCATCTAGCAATCCGCGAAGCCACTCGTATCAGGCCCCCTCATCATCCCCACCCTGCTTGCAATCCGCGAAGCCACTTACGTCAGAAAAAGAGAGAGGGGGAGAGTGAGAGATGTCTCCCACAGAGTCACTGCGCGGCGTGGCGCTGTAGTTTACTCGATTAATCGAAGGGCTGAGCAAGTCTCAAGTCCCGTCCGCAGCCACAAGCCCCACAATTCACACAGTACTGCTTTGCGCTAGGCCTAGAGATTAATGTCCCAGGACAAGCTCAAAACCTGGCCTGCTGACTTGTACTGTCTCGATACACCGAGCGAGCGGTACGCCGCAGTACCGCTTGATGGCGACAAGACCGCTCGATGTGTTCAAACAGCAGTACTGCTCGCTGTGTAAACTTTGAACCGTGGAGGAAGGGAGAGGCTGGGCTTGTTTTGGTGCAAGGCGTAGAGAGCTGAAGTTATTTTTAACTTCCCGCCGTTGATCAGCTAAACGAATGGATAAGTGAGAGGGAGCGTCGTATTGTAGTAACAGAGACCCAGGTTTCTGGTAGTAAGAAGAATAAGTTGACTTAGATTACCCTAAAATGGAAACTCCAGGGTGCGACGATGAAGCGCTTGGTTCGTGCACATTAAAATTGAACAGGCCTTAACATCGTAAGAATAGCCGATCCAATATTAATTTTTAAGTGCATTGAATAGAGCTTTTTGTTTTTTACAACCGAACTTTGAAAAAAACCCCGATCTTGCACTTTTGGTGCAAGCCTCTCAACGCAAATAACCAGAGAATCTTCTGTAATATTACTGAGCCCACAGCCACGAGAGTTCGCGACGTCACGACACAGTACAGCAGGACTGTCCGCGAGTCACAACTCACCGGAAGTTCCCTCCGGTAGCAAGCGGGAGGCAAATTAAATCACAAGCCTGCTCGCAAGCCTCTAGCGCAAGCCGTCCGCTGCTTTGAAAGCCTTCGATTAACCGAGCAGAATCCAGCCCTACTTGACAGGCATGGTTTACACTGCCAGCCTTTCAAATGATCTAAACTGTGGTCACGGGGGCGTTTAAGATTTACAACCTACAGATTTGGAAAGATGTTCTTCTGGAAATAGATTCTATCCCTTTGACAAGAGATAAGAAGGCAATGCCTGAGGTCACACCGCGCCCCAAATCTAGAACATAGATGCGCCGAACTGACATGTGGAAGTCAACTGCTGGATAAGGGGAAGTAACGGCCCAGATCAAAAGTAAGAATATGTACAGGTATTGTTAAAAAGTAAATGTACGCTCCCCTCATTTGGAACATTTTAAAATTGACCCATTATGAATATCCGGCGTCTCCCCTGTCCGTGGGAGCCACGTTTGGGTCGAAAAACACTTTTAAGAATTGGTGAGGGTCCATATTATACTTTTACTGACTTCTTCTTCAGAACCACAACTTGTAAAAACAGATCTTGTCAATGTTCCTGAGCACCTCTCCTCCTTGCCCCTCTAATCGAGACACTGTACGTGAGTGGAATAAATTAGACCTCAATTTGATAAAAATTGAAGTCAATTGACCCCCCCCCCCCAAGCAAAATTGGTCAGGCAATCGATGTTGTCCAGTTCTGACTTTCCAAGATCCACATGTCTATCTGAATCCAGAAAGTACGAGATCAACAATCGACGGGAAGGCAATCGACACACAAGACTAAGGGAAGAAAAACACGATTACCTCCCATGGAATACGCAGCGTCTCCCAACACTGAAACTTGAGGATCATGTTGATTATGACCTCAGTGTACACGTATTTGCACAGCAGGAAATCGACTTTCTAGATCGAATAAGGTAATACCACGTCCAAAAAAGCTTAGCACTTGGTTTGCCAGTTTGATTAAGTCTTCGAAACTTCGAACGATTTGTAAAACCATTGTAGATTTTGAACCTGAGACCCGGGTTTAGCACCAAGCAGGCCTACATGAACCAGGAGAACAGAAAAAAAGTTCTTAAAAAATGCGCCGGTAAAACCGTTATTAATAAAGAAGTAAACACCAAAGTTTGCAGAAACGTGAACATCCATCTGGATTTGTTATGTGTTAAAAGCAACAGAATATGCCTACCACAAACAAAGTTACAAGATATCTTCCAGATACCCCCTTTTTCGAGCAAAGTACATTAGGACACGCTTAGTGAAATTGACAAACACCCGTTGACACTGCTCTAGAGAAATAGATCTTGTGCTCTCCGTGATGGTTTCTTTTAAGACTCGGATACTTTCGAAGGTTTTCCCACACATATTGGCCTTCAAACACCCCCAATGGCCATTAAGTGGACTCAGGTCCAAATTGTTTGAAGTCCAGTAGTGCTCAGTCAGACTGCTTTTATTGTAATTAAAATGGTTGTTGACCGAGCCCGGAACAGCTCTACCGTCATGAGGAGCAGCCCTATCTTGCTGAAAGCACTGATTCTTTCTCCCTTCATCATCAACAAATTGAAGTCCAAAATCCCTCCAGAATTTCGGTGAGGGGATA